AAAAAAAAAATAAAAATAAAGATATCTTTGAAAAGGCTTATAAAAAAATATATATATATATTTTTCCTTCTAATTTTATAGCAGAAAATTGTCTCCACAAATATTAGTAGATAAGGCCAAAAAGCCTACATGTTTAATTGTGCAGCTTAGTTCTAGGCTTAATTATTAGTCTTTAACATAATTGTTTGATAGAGATGTTCAAACTCTTGAATACAATTTGCTTTCTAATAAGTATTTTTCAAATGTTTTCATTGATTTTATTTTTAGTATGCTTATAAAATTTGATTACATTTCTTTCCAAAACAAATCCTTTTATCTAGAGGAGAAATGACTGCTTTAGTGCATCTCTGCCTAATTAAGTAAATATGTGGATGGTGTCATGCAGTGAATTACTTCAATATGGCCCTTCTAGTCACAAAGAACCCTGGTGATGCAGTGGTTAATTGCTTAACTGCTAAACAAAAGGTCAGTGGGTTTGAACCTACTAGGCACTCTGCTTCTGTGGAAACGTACAGCCTTGGAAATCCTGTGCGGTAGCTCTATTTTGTCCTATAGGATCACTATGAGTTGAAATAGACTTAATGGCAATGGACAGTGGCAACTATGTAAGTGGCAAACATAAACAAGCCATTTTATGGAAGTCCCATAAAATGATTTAGTGAGACCTATGCAAATAGGCTGTTGCTTGTGGCCCATCAATGAGTTAGACCATTTAGCTAATGCAAATAAAGTATATAAAGCCCTTGAGTAGAACCAGGCAAATAAAATCCAGGGAAACCTCACAGGACTGATCTGTTTTGCCATGCTGCTTTAAAGAAAGCCAATCCCAAAAGTTGGAAGGAGAACCTCACTACCATCAAGAAAAGCCATGTCCCTGGACTGAGACTCTCCTAAACCCATGAGATCAAGAGCTGTAACATGAACCTATGGGGTCAGAGTGCTGAGCACCTCCAGGCAGGAGGGTTCCTGGTCGAGTGGGGTGAATTAAGGCACTTTATCTGCAGAGCAAGGGCTATGTAACACTTGTCTAAGCAGGGCAGAAAGTAGGCCAGGTGTGATGAAGGAGGCCCAAGAGAGAGACCTGCCTACAGAAAAGCTGTCCTGATTGAAAAACTGTATCCTGCGTTGTTTCTGTACCTCCAAGTTGATTGTGAACCTCAACTGTAACCTATTATTTCTCTAATAAACCCCATAATCATAAGTATAGTCGTGAGCCCTGTGTGCTCATTGCAACAAATTACTGAGCCCAGCAGAGAAGTAGAAATGATCATGGGAGGGATTACTAGGACCAAAATTAGTTTAAATTTTTTTTTCCCGGAGGTGGGAGGTCTGTCTGAATTCTACCTAATGGAAATCAGCGTGGGGTGACGCTGACCTTGATTGTCCTTTTCACCCAGAAGTTATGACACGTCTCCAAATGGAAAGATAATAGGAAAGCCCAAAGTACAACACTGCCATTCAAATATATTATTTGCTTATTTTTCTATCTTTTGATGCATATTTCCTATGGGAGAAAAGGAAATGCCACTTCTAATAGTGAAATTTATTAGATTTTAAAAATAAAGTTATATTATTATCAGATATTACATATAGATCCAATGCTTTGAGTATCAGGAAGAACCAAATACGTACATAATATAATTGTAATTTAACTCAAGAACATATTATTAGAAACCGGAGTGACTCTAAAGACAAGAAAAAAAAATCATTACAAAATCATTAGCCTTTTTTTTATCAGATACATGAAGCAAAAAGGCTAAAAACATTAAAAAGTTAATTTTAGATGCTGATTACTGAACAATTCAAAAAAGTATAATTAAGTACAATTAAAAAGGTTCATTTTCCCTTCACCTATGAAAATATCAAGTTGCCCCTACGAATAAAATAATGTATATATAACCTGTCTTCTTGTTATGGATTAAATTGTGCCCACCCTCCCAAAAAATGTGTTATAAATCTTATCCTCTATGCCTATGGTTATAATAGATATTGGGAACGTGTTGTTTATGAGGTTAATGAGGTAAGATTAGTGTAGAGTATATTTTAAGCCAATCTCTTTTGCGATATAAAGAAATTAAACAAGTAAGCTAGAGGGAGAGTCAAGGTAGGAAGAGAGATGCCAACCACTTGAAGATTACCCAGGAGCAGAAGCTCAGAGAGACAAGGACCTTTCTTCCAGAGCGAACAGGGAGAGAAAGCCTTTCCCCAGAGCCAGCACCCTGACTTTGGATTTCTAGTCTCTCAAACTGTGAGAAAATCAATGACTCTATGTGCAAGTCAGCCACTGTGGTACTTCTGTTATAACATCACTAAATACTTAGAAACAGCTTATTAACTAGCATCATTTTAAATCTTTAAGGCTTTTGAGCAAAACAGTAGAATAATAAGGCAGTATCTTAGTCAATTAATAAACAAGTGAAATAATATATGACACTTTAAAAACAGTTTCCCTGCTGTTTATAACCCTAGAAGCCTATCATAGTAATTCCACATGATTTTTCAAAGGCAAAGAAATAATAACTATTCTCTTACCTTGTATGATGGCAAGAAACACAAAATTCCTTGGCTCACAGCTTGGCACACAGATAACAGAAGGGCCCCTACTTCATCCTGGAACCCGAATGTTTCAGTGTGTTGAAACGTAGCACAGAGATGACGACCGGTGGGGCCTGATCCAATGGTACCAACCCAAACCTAGAGGTGAACATTTTATTTTGTATTAGAATTATGTTTAAACTAGACAGGCAAATTACCATTTATATGGGAGCCTGAACTACATGTGTCAAAATAAGGCCAAGTAAATTTACAGGAAATTTATTTTGTATATGCTGGGTTTTTGTTTTTTTCTATTACCTTCAGCTATTTTTTTTTTACCTTTAATTTTATTCAGATTTAATTTATAAAAAATTTGTTTAGGCAGACCCCTGGATATTCTTAGAATGAAAGTTCTTTGAGGGCAAAGAGTTTTGTTTTTTTTTAAATCTCTTTCCTCAATAAAAAAACTCACTGCCATTGAGTAGATGCTAACTAATAGCGACCCTATCTGACAGGGTAGAACTGCCCCTGTGAATTTCCAAAACTGTAATTCCTTACCGGAGTAGAGAGCCAATAAAAATCCGAAACCCTAACAAAACTCAAACTACCGTATATATCCGTGTATAAGCCGAGTGTTCCAGCACACTTTTAATGCAGTTTTTGTGGTAAAATTAGGTGCCTCAGCTGATATTCAGGTTGGCTTATACTCGAGTATATACGGTATGCACTTACTAGTTATTTGCAATCCTGCAACATTCAGACAGATCTGGCCTTGGCCTAGTTAATCTAACTGTAGATTGTTGTAAAATTTACTAAAACACTGTATTTTAATACAAAGTTGCAAGGTCAAGTACCCCATGTTTTATCATTCTATAAACACCCTGGTCCCTGAAAATCCATGAATAAAATCATAAATTGAGATATGGTAAAGATTTGATTTTCACACATGTTTATTAACTAGCTTACAAATGATGTCCACCAAAATTAGCAGAAAAGAAACCTTTGTATTTCTTTTTTTATTAAAAATAACAGCTCACTCTTTAAAAAATTAATTTGGATTAAATAACATTTCTTTACTTTTTTAAAATCATTTTATTGGGGGCTCTTACAACTCTTGTTACAATCCATATATCAATTGTATACGACATATTTGTAGTGAAGCAACAAGCCTACATGGAAGAAGCACACCAGCCAGTGCGATTGTGGGGTGTCATCGAGACTGGGAAGCAGGCATCAGAAGATTCACAACAACAAACAAACAAAAATGCATTGGTGAGAATGGGGGGTGGGGAGGACGACGGAGCAGAGACCCAAAGCCCGTCTATGGATAATGGAACATCCCCCCACAGAGAGGTCGCAGGGAGGGGATGAGTCAATCGGGTGCAGTAGAGTACCGATGGATCACGCAATATACCTGATCCCTTGAGACCTCCTCACCCCCCACTATCATGACCCCAGTGCTGCTTCCCACACTGGACTAGACAGGAGCATGAATAAAGGTACAGGCAAGGGATAAAACTCACGACACATGGAACCAGGAACAGGAATGGGAAGAGCGATACCAAAAGGGTAGGGGGAGAGAGGGAGGGATGAGAGGGGGCACCAATCGCAATGAAAGGCACATAACCACACACCCCCATCCAGGGGGAAGAACAGCAGAAATCAGAGGGGAAAGGAGACAGCAGTCATGAAAGATTTGAAAATAATAACAATCTATAATCTGTCAAGGGGGCACGAGGGTTGTGGTGGGGAAGAAAGGAGGGGAGAAAAAAGGAGGAGCTGATATCAAGGGCTCAATGGAAAGTAAATGTATAAATAACATTTCTAAGGTATTGTTATAAAACCTGCAAACTTAAATAGGAGGATTTATAAGAATAGTTTCAGAAGAGGTAAGAAATAAACCATGACCATTCATCTACACTCCAATGTTTATTGCGGCGCAATTCACAATCACAAAGAGTTAGAAACAACTCAAATTTCCATCAGTAGACAAGTGGATCTGTAAACTGACACACATACAATGGAGTACTATACATCACTAAAAAGCACTGATGAGCACATGAAACACTTCATTTTATGGTAAAGTTGGAGGAAATTATGCTAAGCAAGGTCAACCAATCACAAGGAGAAGTACATCGTGAGTCCCCTGAGGTGAGTGTAATCAACACAGAAGGAATAGGAGAGAAGCCACCTATCTCACAATATTCGGGTAGAGGTACAGGGAGTCGGGAGAAGGCTAGACCAAACCCAAGGAGGACCATGTAGGTCCAACACAAAGAAAGGGAATGGGGGGGATGAGAAGGGCGAGGCAAAAGTGAAATGATGATAGGGGGGAGCAGGGCACTAACCCACCCAGGGGGAGAGTATTGGTTTGTCTCCATAGAATTGGGAGTGGGTATGCAGACCCTACCACGGTATACCAAACCATGAGGGCAGCATGGCCATGTGGAGGAATGCATCAAAAGAGAGGGCTACAAGACTGGCCCCAGCCAGAGCCAATCTGACCCCCTGCCTAGAAATATGGGTGACAGAGAACAACCCTAACTAAACCTACAGGCTGGAGAAAGGGGCCAGCAGGCCACACCCACACAGAAGCAGACCAGGAAGGAAGAAGAGAAAAGGACACCCGGTGTGAACCCCATGCTGGCACATCAGGCCCAAAGGACGACCTCCCTGTGGGGAGCTCCTGGCACACAGAGGGGACTGTGGGGCCAATAACAGCTTGTGCCATGTTGTCCCCTTACTGGGGCAGACTGCAACAGAGGACAATTCTGGGGTCACACAGCAGGAAGGTAGTACAGTCTGAAACCCCCACAGCGGGGCAAACCAAGAAGGGAACATAATAGATCAGCAACTGGAACTAAGCAAAGCTACGAAGCCCCTGAAGAGCCCTGAAAATGGACTTCAGGCTGGGAAAGACAGCTCCCGGAGATTCCCCATGACCAGTGCGGACATAGTCATGAAGGTCAGCAAACAGACCTGGAATTATGTACACATTTTCTCTTTTTTCCCCCTCTCCTTTTCTTCTTTCAATCTTTTCTTTGGTCTATGTCATAGTCAGTTTGCCTACTATATAAGATAGGCATGGGAAGCAAGCCCGAAGAGAAAGCAGTGGGACCAATGGTCTTGGGGGGGACTTGGGGGGTGAGGGCGGCAGGGGCAGGGTGTAGTGAGCAGGCAGTGCCATAGACAGGGGAGCAACTAGGGAATTAGAGTCAACAATAGGGATGAGATCGAGATCCTGGTGCGGAGGGTTCGGAGCAACAGCAAACTAGCTAAGAGGAAGTACTAAGCGGTAGAAAAAAGGGGAAAGTGATGGTGGGACAGAAGGAAAGTAAAAGGAAACAGAGGAAGGACTTAGGAGGCAAAGCAATGGATAGAGGTATAAGCACAGGTGTGTACAGATGCAAATGCATTAATCCACAAAAATAGAGGTATTGGCCTATGTACACATATTTATACAGCAATACACTGAGGTAGTGGAAGGATTTCAGGCCTCTGCTCATACCCTCCCTCAATACAAGAACACTTTGTTCTAACAAATCAGCATTCTGAGATGCTCACCCTCCCGACACAATCACTGAAGACAAAACGGATGTATTAAGTTTGCCACAAAGATTAACCGAAGTCAAGCCAGAGAGAAAAAAGGGGAAGTTTATTCTGCATTTCTCCGGAGGGATTCACGGACCCCAGCACACTGCCGGAAAGGGAGAGGGAAAGGAGAGATGGGAGAGGGAGAGAGACTGGAGTCCTGAACTCCAGGGCTATCTTCACGGCCCCCATTGGGGGATCAGAGAAGTCATGCTTCTCTGTGGTGGAGAGTGTTAAGCTAGTCAGGGGTTAGGGTAAAGCAATAAAGGGAGTGGGCAGAAACCACAGGTGGGCAAATAAAGAAGAAGGGAGTGGATCAGAGGATCAGCATCAGGGGCTCTAAATGGGTCTCCATCCATAAAAATTGCGAGGCAGGGTGGTGCTTTGATCATTCTGTTTGGCACCAAGGCAGATGGCTCTCTGGCCCCTGGAATTATTGGTCTGATAGGGGCAGGAAGGCTATTCCTAATGTCCTCCGACCGGTACGTGACCCAGGGTGCATAAGCAAAACGTGGTGAAGAGGGCAGATGGTGCCTGGTTATAAAAAGATATAGCGTCTGGGGCCTTAAAGGCTTTAAGTTAAACAAGCAGCCATTGAGCAGAGAAGCAAGCTTACATGGAAGAAGCACACTGCTGGTGCTATCATGGGGAGTCATCAGGAACAGGTAATAGGCACCAGAAGACACATAACAAACAAACAAACAAAGACATATTGTTCGAATCAGGGGGGTGGGGGGATGGAGCAGAGACCCAAAGCCCATCTGTAGACAATGGAACAATCCCCGCACAGAGGGGCCACAGGGAAGGCATGAGTCAACCAGGGTGCAGTAAAACATCGATCAAACATACCATATTCCTCTGGTTCCTTGAGGCTTCTTCACTATCATGACCCCAGTGCTGCTCCTCAATTCAGACTCATCTGGAGCATGTACACAGGTATAGATAAGAGACTGGGGCTCACAACACATGGATCCAGGAACAGGATTGGGAATAGCGATACCAGAAGGGCAGGGAGAAAGGGGGAAAAGGAAGGGAGAAAGGGGGGAACCAATCGTAATGACTGACACATAACCATACACCCCTCTCCAGGGGGAAGAACAACAGAAAACACGGGGGAGAGACAGCGGTCCATATAAGATATGAAAATGATAATAATGTATAATCTATCAAGGGGGTATGAGGATGGGAGTTAGGGAGGGAAAAAAAGAAGCGCTAATACTAAGGGCTGGATAGAAAGTAAATGTCTAGAAAAGATGAGGGCAACATATGTACAAACGCCTGATGCAATGGATGTATGGATTGTAGCAAGAGTTGCAAGAGTCCCCAATAAAATGATCTTTTAATATAAAAAAAAGAATAATTTCCATTCAGATATTCAACCAAGTATTGTATACTTGCTAAATTCCAGGTGTAAATCTAGGTGTGAAGGAAGAATGAGGATGTAAAAAGAATGAGAATACCATAATCTAATAGAAAAGAAAAACAAAATCATATAATAGGAACTACAATAATCAAATAAAAAATTTTAGTTTGTTTTTAGTTTTCTTAGAAACAACTAAAATATATTCAAATAAGTATATTGCAACACTGTGTCTACAAAAAAATGCATTTGTATTCACTGGGTTAAAGGGAGGTTATTTATTAGTATTTCTTTTGTTGATCCTCAAAGTTGGGTGTTTGAAACCACCAGCTGCTCCTTGGGATAAAGATGAAGCTTTCTACTCCCATAAACAGTTTTCATCTTGGAATCCCAGAGGATTCCACCCTGTTCTACAGGATTGCTATTGCGATGAGTCAGTATTGACTAGATGGAAAGTGAGCTGTTGTTGTTTGTTGATTCTATCAAGTAATTGGTAGATTTTTATTTTATTTTAACATTGAAATGTTAAACTTATTACAGTCTGTTTGCTGGCACTACACAGGTACTTTTGTTCACATAGAATAGTACTGAGGTAGAACATCTGAGGGCCTTTAAAAATACTAACCTGAGAGTTATTAATGACATGATTAGCTTCCAGTTGAATAGTGAATGTAACACCAAGTTCTGATGAAAAAGATTTCATTGGTGATAATGTTCCAGATGTCAAAACAATTGTCCGAACTTTATCATTAATATCTGAAAAGGCCTAAAGGGTAACAATATTTGATACATAAAGTTAAAAAGTCAATTAAAAAAAGTTAATTAAAAAGTATTTAATTAACATTTAGCATGAAGAAGATATTTTCATTTACAGCACAAAAGACATACCACAGCTGGATTTAAGCACCAAAAATTTAGCACATGCACCACAGTTTTCTGTCGAGAACGTTTCTTAGTTTTCGGTAGAACAATCACAGCATTTCTACTTGAAATATCAGTCTGATTTATCCAAGAGTAAGTCTGTTGAATAGCAACCTTATAATCACCTGCAAATCTAGATGAAAAGGAAAATGCTAATTAAATGGTGAAACTTTTTAAGACATATAATATCCTACCTACATACATGTAAAATTGATTATATCAAAATTCAATTGAGAGTACTCTTAATCTTCCCACTCAAAGATAACATTCTTTTCACCAACACCCACCACTAATTAAACCTAGTCATTCTGGTATAAACTAAGCATTAAGTAGTAAAATGAGTTCATTTGCAGGTGAAATACTATAAATCCTCTAATCTAATCATCCCTCAGTTATTACCCACCTTCCATTCCCATTTTTTAGTAGAATTAAAACACAAGCCTCCTAAATTCCCGTCCAGAGTTCTTTGTACTACACAGGAGCATATCATGAAATTAATTATAAAGCAGAAAATAATATTACTTTTAAAGAAATGAAAGAGTGGGGCTTTTTTTCTCCTTATTTCGTGAGAAAATGGAAAGACTTTTATTGAAAGTTAAGGCAGTTTTAGGAGCTAATTTCAAAATGTAAAGTTCTTTTAAAATCAAATTCTCATGTTTCTTCTATTTTTAATGAAGAATCTTTTAATAAACCAGATGGTCTCTGTGATTCCATCTCATTCATAACGTCTTTTAGTAGAGGGTATAAACATCCAGGCTTAAAGTGAATCAAAAGTGGCATTGTGTATCTTATCTTCAGTACAACAATTTCACTGATAAGTTCCTCCCTGGAGAAAGCACATAGATCTCAATATCCAGGCCACACACTCAATACTCTAATGACAATATTTCATAATTGAACAGGGAATCTGGTTGCCATCAAGGCACTTCCAACTCATGGCAACCCAAGTGCTGCAGAGCAGAACTGTATCCCATAGACTCTGCCCTTCCAGAAACAGATCACAGGCCTGTCTTCCAAGGCCCCTCTATGGGTTTGAATCATCAGCCTTTCAGTAAGGTCTGGCACTTAACCATTTGCAGCATCCAGGAACTCTTAGCAAGGGGTTGGGCAGGGGAAATTGACTGCTTTTGTTTTCCCACTGTACTTAATAGAGGTTTCTTACAACAGGAGAGAGACATCCTGGCACTGAAAGACACAAATCTACACCATAATGAAAAGAAAACTAATAGCCTTTAAAGCTGAAATTTGTACTGGAAAACCACAAATGTAATGCTAAATTAAAATAATATATAAACTTATTGGTTTCATAATATACAAAGTTATTTATTGATAACATAATATACAAATTCATTGTCTTTCATAAAGACTAATTTCAATTCACTTGAGTCTGTGCAGTAATACTCATACCACTTGCTTATAATTCTCCTACTTACCCAACCAATAGCATACAGCAAACATATAAGCACCCAATTAGATCGATACATTTTTAGGAAGAAAAATACATATCACAATTTTCACATACCTGCTATTTTGCCTAAAAAGGTAGTCAAGCACCATAAAAAGTCCTTTGAGCACTATTTGAGTTGAAGCAGTAATGATAGGTATTTCTCTTGCTTCTTCCTTACCATGAATTGATGAAACTTTTTCTTCTTTTTGAAGAATAGCAGACAAATGTCCCTGGGAGAAATTACTCCTATTAATCACAATGTAGGGAGGACTCTACAAAGCTATAATAAAACTCAAAATATCTGATGAAATTCTAAGCTAAATTCTCCTGTGTTAAAGACATTTTATTAAGTTGGACATTTAGGAGGTTCACTGCTTTTTTGTTCAATTAGGGTATAATTTAGTGCCCTTCAAAAGTAATGAACTAAGTAAAATTGTACGAAATGGTTTTTCCAAGTGGCTGAAAAGAAAAAGTGTGCCAATATGACAAGCAAAAAGAAAAGAATAACAAAATAAAACACTGTACATTAAATCTAAAGTGGATACTAACAAGTTCATTAATTTTACCATGTGCAGGGCAGGAAATCATTTCATGTGACTCTTTAGCCCAAGTCTCAAACTCCCATCAAACAGCCTGTCCTGCAGGGGTCTGGTAAAAAGGTAGAGGGAGATACTGATAGGATTCAGTGAGTAATTGTGAACAAGATTCCCTGGGATGCCATCCTGTTGTATATAAAATGAGCCCGCTGAGAAGCGGGAGGAGGGATCTCATCACAAGCAAGAGCCAGGAGTGGCACTCATCCTCTGGATCCAACATTTGGCTTGAAACTGCCCGATCTTTGAACTTTGGAGTGAACAGCACCCACCGCCATGAGACATCCTCAACCTCGAGACATTTTCTGTGGCACACTGAAGAACCCAGGATGTGAGGGAATACACTCCAGGGCAGAGGAAGGGGAGGGATGCATGCAGCTGAATAGTCTCATGAAGAGTTGGACATTTGCAGGCATCATCAATCCCCAACTCCTTGAGACTAGTCTTGTATTAATCCCTCTAAAACAGTGGTTCTCAACCTTCCTAATGGTGCGACCCTTTAATACAGCAGTTCCTCATGTTGTGGTAACCCCCGACCATAAAATTATTTTTGTTGCTACTTCATAACTGTAATTTTACTACTGTTATGAATCGGACAACCCCTGTGAAAGGGTCATTTGACCCCCAAAGGGGTCCATGACCCACAGGTTGAGAACCACTGCTCTAAAAGATTATTACCACACCATGGTTTACAATTTTTTAAAAACATTTTATTAGGGGCTCATACAACTGTTATCGCAATCCATACACACATCAATTGTGTAAAGCGCATTTGTACATCATTCTCAAAACATTTTCTCTCCACTTAAACCCCCGACATTAGGTCCTCATTTTCCCCTCCCTCCCTGCTCCCCACTCCCTCATGAGCCCTTGATAGTTTATAAATTGGAATTTTGTCATATCTTGCCCTGTCCAACGTCTCCCTTCACCCACTTTTCGGTTGTCCGTCCCCCAGGGAGGAGGTCACATATAGTTCCTTGTAATCGGTTCCCTCTTTCCTACCCACCCTCCCTGTTTCGCCACTCACACCACTGGTCCTGTAGGGCTCATCCGCCCTGGATTCCCTGGATTTTCACTTCCTATCTGTACCAGTGTACATCCTCTGGTCTAGCCAGACTTGCAAGGTCGAATTCAAGTCATGCGGAAATTATTTAAGATAAATAGAAGAAGTCAAAAGTATGCTTCCCCACATTGTAAAGTAGAAAACTGAATAATGAAACAATGAGAGATCGTTGACAAGTCTTATAATTGATGATGTCTGGTCAATAAAATAAGATAAACTTTAGATAAGTTAACTAGGATAAGTTAAAATAAGATAAACTTTAATTTTTAGATATGTTGTAAAATAGTATAAATCTCTAAAACTAAAAATCCATCTCGACTGAACAAAATACAGTACTAACTAAATAATACAAATAAGATTTTGTCAAAAAAGACCAAGAGATGTAAACAATATGAACTTAGAAAAATGAAACAAGTATCAATTTTTTGAAAAAAATAAAATCAAGTTTCCCCAGCAACATCTTTCATCTAGGTTGCTATAGCTCTCCAACACTAGCAACTTACACTATTAGAACAACTAAAAGTACGGCCCAAAAGGACTCAACTAAATTCTACCTACATGATGAATCATGGGACTAACAATTCCCAGCTTGCTTCCAGCCAGGTTTCCTGTAACTCTGGCAGCTAGTTGGGGATTATGTAGAAAACTAAGCAAAGAAAGAAAAATTCAGATAATTAATATTCCCAAGGAAACGTAAGGTTGTATAAAAAGGTAATCAAGTAACTTACACAATTTTACTATCACAAGTTATATATATACATATATGATAATACACAAACACTGAATGTTGACATAATTATGGTGACAGAATAGAATGAGGAGATAATGGAGGCGGAAAAAGCACAGAGGTAAGGGAAGGAATCTGAAAACTCAGACTCAAAAATAGCAGAACCCACATCTTATTTAGGAAAATGGGATAAACACGAGAAAGAACAACTACAAAAGTTGAAGGGAATCAAAAAGTTAAAGAAGCACTAGGAAGTGAAAATTGGGAGTAGAGAGGGAGCAGTAAGAAAACATTCAGTAATCTGTATGGATTATTGTAAGAGCTGTAAGAGCCCCCAATGAAGTGATTTATTAAAATAAATTTTTAAAAATCATAAACTTTTAGCTAACTAGGATTATAGAAAATGTTCTTAACCTAATAACAACTACTGGTTAAAAAGCCTACAGCACCCATGGAGGAGAGAAAAGACTTGCAAATCATGATTATTAAGGCTTTATATCCAGAATGTATAAATAACTTTTATACTCAACAATAAATAACACATGGTCCAATTTAAGACCAAAGGATTTGAATAGACATTCTCCAAAGAAAGACAAATGAGCATAAGCCTCTGAAGAGGTTCCGCATCGTTAGTCATTAGAAAATACTAACCAGAAGCACAACGAGCTGTCACTTCACACCAACAAAAGTGGTTGTAATGAAAAAGACAGATATTAAGTACTGATGAAGATGTAGAGAAACAAATCCTCATACGTTGCTAGTAGGATTATAAAATGGTTCAGTTGCTGTAAAGGTTGGCAGTTGCATAAAAATTTAAGTTAAAAATAGTTACCATAGGACCCAATAACTCCACTCCTAAATGCATGCTAAAGGAACTAAAAACACGTATCCATACAAAAATCTGTACATATATGGTCACAGTAGCATTATTCATAACATAGGAACAATCTAAATTTCTATCAGCTAATGAATGAAGTAAGACATAGCTGTCCAAACCCATTCACGTATCAAGTTTGTCATACTGTGGTGGCTTTTCTGTTGCTGTGATCTTCGGAATCATGCCATCGGTATTTTAAATACCATGCAAAACAGGTTTCAGATGATGGCAACAAATACACATATGTGCTTGACATAATGGATGTATGTATGGATTGTGATAAGAATTGTATGAGCCCCTAATAAAATGATTTTTAAAAATCACAATGATATTTTCTGTAATCATGGTAACAGAGTCATAATAAAATTGTTTAATTTATTGAAACAAACAAACAAACAAACTGGTTTCAGCAGAGCTTCCAGATTAAGAACCTGGAAGCAGTGGTCCACTCCCGAAATCCTTATGAATAGCAGTGAAGCACTGTCTGAAACAGTGCCTGATGATGAGTCCCTCATCTTTAAGTGGAAGGCACTTAAAATACAACTGGGAAATAGTTGCCTTGTCAAAGTACAGTCAACTTTAGTGATGTAGATGGAGCACAGCTTTGGGGACCTTCATTTGCTGGTGGGACACAATTCCAACAGCTGGAAACATCCATTAGTAATTGGAATATTTATAAGAATTGGACATTCAAAATGAATTGGAATGCATAAAAACCCTTGGTATTAGCAGAAATGGACTGGCAGTAATCAATTTGATTCGGACGATCATAATGGTCTATTAAGTCAGGAATGACAAATTCAAGAGGAATGGTGTCATATTTAAGATTTATCTTGAGAGCTAAGAATGGGAGTAGAGTGGAGCTCATAAGCAGTACACCTGGATCTCGCTGCCTGCCCTCCCTCCAGCCAGCTTGCAGCCCAGAACACCATCCACCATGGCCACCTCAAGTTCCCATGTGAACAAAGGTGTCAAGCAGATGTTCCTGGCTCTGCAGCACGGCGAAAAAGTCCAAGCCATGTATATCTGGATTGATAGCACTGGAGGACTACGCTGCAAAGCCCGAACCCTGGACTGGGAGCCCGTGTGGGGAAGAGTTGCCCAAGTGGAAGTCTGAAGGCTTCAACAGTGACATGTAGCTCATCCCTGCTGCCATGTTCCGGGACCGTTCCGCAGGCACCCTAACAAACTGGTGTTCTGTGAAGTCTATGTACAACCGAAAGCCTGCAGAGACCACCTGTAGGCACACCTGTAAACTCATAATGGACATGGTGACCCCTTGTTTGGAATAGAGCAGGAGTACACCTTCCTGGGGACAGATGGGCACCCCTTTGGTTGGCCTTCCAATGGCTTTCCTAGACCCCAAGGGCCCTAGTATTGCAATACGGGAGCAGACAAAGCCCAAGGCAGGGATACTGTGGACGCTCATTACCCGACCTGCTTGTATGCTGACATGAAGATTGGCCGGACAAATGCCGAGGTCATGTCTGCCCAGTGGGAGCTCCAGATAGGACCCTGTAAAGGAATCGACATGAGGAACCAACTCTGGGTGGCCCGCTTCATCCTGCACCACGTGTGTGAAGGCTTTGGAGTGACAGCAACCTTCAATCCTCAGCCCCTCCCTGGGAACTGGAATGGTGCAGGCTGTCATACCAACTTCAGCACCAAGGCCATGCTGGAAGAGAATGGTCTGAAGCACATAGAGGAGACCATCCAGAGACAATACGGAGCCTATGACCCCAAGGGGGCCTGGACAACACCTGGCGCCTCAGTGGACTCCACGAAACCTCCAACATCACCGACTTTTCTGTGGGTGTGGCCAACCGAGGCGCTAGCATCTGCCTTCCTCAGATTGCCAGCCAGGAGAAGGGTTACTTTGAAGAACGCCGCCCCTCTGCCAACTGTGACCCTTTCGCGGTGACAGGCTAAGCGGGGTAGACCTCCAGCCATCAAGCCCCTCCCAGCTCTTCACCCACACCCATGATTCCCGATCTCCCACTAGTTCCTGCTACCTGTAACTCAGAAAACAAAATATCAAAGTCTTTTTTATTTCTTGTGCCCAATTAATAACACTTGTCTTTTTTGGTCTCAGGGTGGTGGAGGGGTCACATTCTTAATCTCGTCTTCAGACCCATCTCTTTCTCTCAGAAACCATAACCACTGTTTCCATTAATCAGGTGGTTTTGTCCAGTAGACATAGCTGTCCCGACAGAGAGGCGGCCTCTGTGTTTGTGAAGGGAGGAGGGGAGGCCGTCTTTCTTTGAGATGGCTGGAATCCGGGGGTAGGGTCTAACTCAGGATTTCCTTCTTCTGGTGGGAAATTGCATTTCTTAAAAAGAATACAACCAACTTTACATTAGAAGTGAGGATGTTCTGAGAGAGAGAGGGGAGGGGCCAGGACAGAAAATGCCCTTGGTCACAAAGTCCTTGTTTAGGGCAAACAGCCTTGGTCTAAAGATTAAACTCAGAATCAAGTGGATATACCACCATCACCACTACCAACGCCCCACCCCCAAAACTTATATCTTGAAGTGTAATGTTGTGATAGGACAGTATCCATATATCTACTAGAAAACCCACTTAATACAACTATTATTCAATGTACACACCAGCTACTAAACAATGAAGAATTAAAGAATTCTATCAACCTCTTCAGTATGAAACCGATCAAACATACAATCAAGATCCACTGATAATTGTTGGCTCTTGCTGGTCATAAGATCCCTCCACCTGCTTCTCAGCGGGCTCATTTTATACACAGCGGGATGGCATCCCAGGGAATCTTGTTCACAATTACTCACAGGTGAATCCTATCAGTATCTCCCTCCACCTTTTTACCAGACCCCTGCAGGACAGGTTGTTTGATGGGAGTTTGAGACTTGGGCTAAAGAGTCACATGAAATGATTCCCTGCCCTGCACATGGTAAAACTAATGAACTAGTTAGTATCCACTTTGTATTTAACATAGTGTTTTATTTTGTTATGCTTTTCATTTTGCTTGTCATATAAGGAGCTCTAGTGGTGCTGTGGGTTAGGTGTCAGGCTGCTAACTGTAAGATCAGTAGTTTGAAACTACCAGCAGCTCCCTAGGAGAAAGATGGGACTTTCTATCCCCATAAAGCGTTATAGCCTCAGAAACTCACAAGAGCAATTCTACCCTGTCCTATGGTCACTGTTAGTTGGGATTCACTCATGGCAACTGAGTCTGGTTTTCCGGTTTGGATGCGTGGCACTTTTGGTTAAGTATAAGGTACTCTGCTGAAGGAAATGCGGCTTTCAGTTTCCAAGACTTACAGCCTTGGAGACCCTATACTCTGTCTATGAGTTGGAATTGACATTGTAGCAATGAGTTTGATTTTTGGTCTTAAATTTCATTTTTTTAAAAAATCAGAGAGTTTGTAGTTTTATATGTGATTTCTTTCCATCAACATATCTGTAATTACTGCTGTGGTAGCAGGACTTGATTCTTTTTTATTGTTCTGTAATATTCCACTTTATACACGACAGTTTAATTTATCTGATTTACTATTAGTATGACTAACTTATAAAATGCAAAAGGTTTATGCAAAAAGAATTATCAATATACGTCACAATATAGAATAATACTACATGATATTTTAAAATGCAGGACAAAAATTACAAGCATATCTGTTAAAAAACCTTCCTTTTCAGTATTCATATATCCAGAATGCTCATGGTAATGATGTTAGGAACAAATCTTAGCTTTTTTATATTAAAACCTCTTAGAGAATATAATGAAAGTTATGAAATTCCCATTCAATAAAAGGTACAAAAATATAAATGCATAAAATTATACATCTACCATCATAAGGCTCACGGTATCTCAAAGCCTATTCATAATTGTTACTCATAAACTCCAGGTTATAATGTCTTAAAGTCAACAAAATGTAAATGTGTCTCTTCTCTATTTTCTAAAATTTAGACAAATATAGGAGACAAAATTAATTTAAAACTTAAAACTATTGATAATTTTTACCCCTAAACAAAGCAATTAGTGTCTTTTATTTCAAACTAAACAGTGCTACTTTGTCTTAATTGTAATTTATCATCACTTAAAGATTACCAAAATTACAGAATTAAATAAAACAAAAGAAAGTGCTAGATTTATTAAATCACTATTTGCTAAGTTTATTGGACCACTTCTAATCTACTATATACTTTCACAGATAAAAACAATTTACCTGCAAAATGGGAAAAGTAGCAGAGGTGATGCCCATTTTGTATAAGTGAGAGATCATTTCCTTTCCACTCCATATTTTACAGGATGATTCATAATCCCTTTCTACAAGATGTTCAGAGTTTGCGTCTAACCAACTAGAAAAAATTAAATAATAATCTCATCAATAATTGCCATTATCATACACTGAGATGTATTCCTTGAAGGTCTTGGAATACCAATATTGATCAATTAAGAAAACTCTTAAAAAGCTATACTTCTCAAAAAAAAAAAAAAAAAAAGCTATACTTCTCATAGTGAAAAATATGAGGGATCCCCCCAAAAAACAGAATTTTTTTTCAAAACTATGTATTTAAAGTTTTTTTTTCTTTTTACAAAACAACCTTAAAACCTTCAAAGTACTCTCCATTGCATTGTCAAATCAGCTATTCCATCCTTGGAAACATTTTTCAAACTCATGTTTGGATGGCTGACAGCACCGCCCTCATTTTTTTCTTCACCTCCTCTATGTCCTCAAATCACTGTCCTTTCTGTCCCTTTTCATTCACGGAAATAAAAAGTCATGCAGAGCAAGGTTAGGAGAGTCAGGTATGTGGGACAAGAGAATCATGCTGGTTTTTACCAAAAACTGGTGCAATGAGATGGCTGCGTGAGTAGGTGCACTGTCATGGTGGAAAAACTAGTCCCCTATCTGCCACAAATCAGGCCCTTTTTGTCACACACTATTACACATCTTTTCAGAACCTTGAAATAGAGGGCTTGATTAGTACTCTGACTTGGTGGAACGAACTCCAAATGCACTACAAGTTGACAGACCTCCAATGAATCGACATTTCACCTTATTTGAAATGAGAAAAACCACTCATACACTTGAGTTTTCCCATAGCGCTATCCTTATAAGCCATGTTCAACATCACAACAGTTTCTGCAGCATTTGTCCCGAGCAGGAAACAAAATTTCACAGTCATACACTGTTCTCTTTAAATTGGTCATCACAAAAAGTTAGATTTGAGATAAAATGCCTTTACAAAAAATTCATTATGACCAGAGAGAACTTTCTCAGGCAATGCCACAGTGTGCACTGACTGAGAGCAAGTTGCTCAATGCTCGCCTAGAGGGAAAAATACCTACTACAAAAGCTTTGCCCAGCCAAGCTTTATTCTTCTTTTTTTGGGGGGGAGGGGGGGATACACCCTTGTAAATCTTCATTCAGTTGACAAAAAGAGAAAGTTTTTATTCAGGACAGAGAATTAGACGTGTGCGTTCCCAATTGTGTTTTATAGATTCATTTGACTCAAAATAAGTAAATAAATAAGCAAATCTATTGACTCCTAGAGATTTTAGAGGCAAGAGTAGAGCTGTTCTGTAGGGTTTTTGAAGCTGTCAATCTTATTGGAGCAGATATCTTCATCTTTACCCCATGCTAGGTTTGCACTGCCAATTGTGTGGTTAGCAACTCAATGTGCACCTCACTGCACTACCAGGGCTCCTTCATTTGAACCAGTCTCCTCAAAACAATAACCACTATTTGAGATTCCTTGGTGTCATACTGGTTATGCTGACCATAAAGTCAGAAGTTCAAAACCACCAGCTGCTCCAAGGGGAAAAAAAATGACACTTTCTACTTCCTTAAAGAGCCTAAATTGTGAGACTCTGGTGTGCAGAAGGCAATGGATGACAGTGGGAGCCCAATTCATTTGTAGAACTGTATAGGAAATAAGCTTCCAGAGAACTACCCCTATCTACAATTGAAGGATGGGAGTGCTGGGAGGAGAGATGATTGTGGAAGATCAAAGGCATGAATCTCACTGGAACGGTTAAAACTTGGTCAGTAGATCCTCCCTGTGATGCACGCTAGACCTGATTTGATTTCCAAAAGTTTCTGTATTTTTGGTCTGTATTGTTTTGTTTGTTCATATTAGGGTGTATCTCAGAGTGCTATGTCATTGGAAGTCACCCTCTTGAAGTTGTGTTATATGGTTTTCTATTTTTCGTTATATGAAACCCAGGATTGATAACCTTAAAGGGACAATAAGTAGAATAAGGGTTTTGAGGGTAGGGTAGGAGTGCAGTGGTAGGGGCGGGATAAAAAGGACATGATGTCAAAGAGTCCATGTAGAAAACAAATGCCTGGAAACTGATTCTGGTAGCAACTGTACAATTCTACTTGACGTGATTGAGCTATGGAATTATATATGTATTAAATTCTAATTAATAATAATTTTTTTTTAAGTGTTACAACCTTGGAAATTCATTGGGGCAGTTTTACTCTGCCCCAACGATAGCATCAATTCCATAGAAATGAGTAAACTGAGATGCAAGTATTAAGAGCTTATCCAAAATGTACATAAAAGAATTACTAGAAAATATATAAATACATTCATCAAAATAAACATATATTCATAAATTCAATAAGTGTTTGAGCTTCTACTTTATGCCAGACACTGTTCTGGATAGTCGGAGTTCAGCAGTAAATTAAGTTTGCAAAGGTTCTAATACCATGGAAATTAGATTCTAATGAAGGGAAGCAAAAAAACATACACAAAGTATTAGGCAGAGATGAGCGATATAATGGAAATAAGGTAGGGTAATGTAACCTAACTGGTACTTTAATTTGAATGTCAAGGAAGCTCTCCCTGAGATGGCATTGTCTAAGAATTAAATTGTACAAAATGGTCAGACCTATCTGGATCAGGGAAAACAAGCATTTTAAGCAGATGAAACAGATGGTAAAAAGATCTTGAAGTAGTTAACAGCATTTTCTTCTTTGAGACCCAAAAGAAAGCCAGGGGGCAAAAATAGGCAAAAGGGATAACAGAGTGAAACCAGATCAGATTAAGCAAGGATTTAAAATTTTTGATTCTACTTAAAGTACAACGGAAAAGATTTAATTGGAGGATTTTAAACAAAGGAAAGACAATCTAGTTGAAAATTTTAAACGATGATTCCAGCTTCTCAGCCAGAATTGATTATAGGAAAAAGGTAAGAGTGAAAGACGAAGACTCATTCAGAGGCTAGTACATACAGGCTATCACAGTATTCTAGATATGATTCTAGAAGTATATATATTTGGAGACAGAAAAAAGCGGGTTGTGTAGGTGACACCTATAATATTTACTTATGAACTAGATGAGGTGACACAGCTATCAAGGGTAGCACTTCGATTTCTTCCTGGTTGGCAGTTTGTTTAGATGGGAAATATGGAGAGGAAATAGACAGGGAATGAGACGGAGCTCTGCTCTGGATGTTGACATGCCTTTTTGATATCCAAATGGAAATAGATAAAATAGAATGGTAGAGATATAAGTGGCAATACAAGGTAAGGATGGGGCTAGAGTCGGAAATGTGGGCTTCTTTAATATTACAAATGCTTATGTAGGCTGTGACCAGGGTTGTCTAATTTGGGTCAAGTGTAGATTTAATACTGTAGTAATAGCAATGATATAAAAGCCCAAAAGGAAATTGTGATGTACTCCAACGTTTATACAGCTAACAGATGAAAAAGAAGTATCAAGAGAAATTGAGAAAGAAAGGCCTATGAAGGCAAAGGAAAACCAGAAGATTCCAAGCACACGGGCCCAGACAAAAATGTTGTTCAAGAAGTGATAACGCGGGAATAAGGACAAGAAAAAAAAGAAGAAGAAGAGAAGACGATGAAGTGGTAACAATGTCTAACATTTCTGAGAGACTAAGAACAGAATACCCTTTAGATTTGGCCATTAAGACAGTAACATTACTAGAATGATGAAGAAGGATGAGAATGAGGATATAGACTCAGTAACAACAGTAGTTTAGGTATTCTTTATGTTTTGGGGGTTTTTTTTAACAGGAATTCTTAATAAAAACAAAACAAACCAAACAAAAAAAATCATAAAGAAAGACATATAATAAGAAAATGAAAGGAAAAGAATGTGCAACTCTACCACAAGCAAAGGAATAATTTCTGTAATTCACTGAAAAAACAAAATCCAGAATTCGTTGATCCTGACTCATAGCAACCCTAAAGGGCAAAGTGGGACTGCTCTCTAGTCTTCAAGGAGGTAAACTTTTATAGAAACAGATGACCACATTTCTCTCCCTTTGAGCTGCTGTAAGGTTCAAACCACCTGCCCATGGTGTAGTGGATTAAATATTGAACTATTAACCTCAAGGTCAGCAGTTCGAAACCACCAGTCACTCCTCCACAGAAAGAAAGTTCACATGAGGCTTTCTGCTCCTATCGAGAATCACACCCTCAAAAACCCTCCGAGTCAGTTCCACCCTGTCCTGCAGGATCACTATGAGACAGAACTGACTCAATGGCAGTGAGGGTGTGTGTGTGTGTGTGTGTGTGTGTGTGTGCTGTTAGCATGAGTACTTAACCATTGGGTCACTAGGACTCTTGAATACATAAAAAGCTTCTTGAAAACTCAATAAAATACAAGATCTATAACCACAATAAAAAGGGGGGTGGGGAGCAGATATATCCCAAGTTGATAGAAGAGAAATAGAAATGGCTCATAAAGATGCTTAGTCTTACTCATATGAAGAGAAATATAAATGAAAACTAAATTGGGGTACCACTTTTTACCTACAGGTTTTAAAAAACAAAACCCAACTCTCGTACATTATTGTAAGTATGAATTAATCCCCAACTCATAGACATACAGTGTAGTTTTGCCAATATTTATCAAAATTAAAAATATACCTTTGCTTCAATTCACCACTTCCAATTCTAGGAATTTTCCTATGGACATAAAAGCCTACATTTGAAATGGCTTATGTTCAAAGTTATTCATTAGAGCAATGTAATAGCAAAAGATGGGAAACTACCTTAAAATATATTAAACTGAGGCTGGTTAAATAAATTAAGTCTATACAGTGGAAATCCAAGCAATTATTTTCAAAACTATTAAAGTACTTTAGTCTTGATATGGAAAGATCTTCAATACACACTGTTAAGTGAAAAAAAAAAAAAGCCAAGATACAGGAAAAAGTATGTATAAGCATATGCCATCATTTGAGTAAAAAGGAGGGACGAGGTCTCTTTATTGGCACATGAATGTATAGATAGAAGAATAGATGTGTTTGAATTGTGCTGGCGAAGAATACTGAAATGGACTGGCAAAAGGACAAACAAATCTGGCTTGGAGTAAGTACAGCCAGAATGCTCCTTAGCAGCGGGGATGGAGAGACTTCGTCTTATATACATAAATGGATGATAAGTTTGTTCATGGGGAAAGGAACTGCACAGATGGGGAGTGGGGAGATTTTTGTTGTATAAATTTGTATAGTTTACTTTAGTCATGTGACTGTACAGCATTCAAATCTTCAATATTTTTTTAAACTAATATGAGTATCAGAAAAAAGCTATAGTAAATGAAATTGAATGTACGGTTGTGAGAGGTATTTTCCTAAGATAAAGATATTTAGATCAATATCCTAATGTCTAATGAAAGAGAAATTATCTAATGTAACTTTTAATACAATTAGAATTAAATCTATTTTAGATAATTGAAATCTTGATTAATTAAATCCCATCAATTAGAATCCTATTCAAATTAGAAGATAAAGTAATACTTGCCAAATTTGGAATAAGATTCTTAAGTATCAATAAAGGGTTATTCATTCTACTGTTTTGAATGAGATAAGTTAGAATAACCTTCTTTTAAAAGTTTAACTGGCAATGGACAACTCACTTCCTAACAAGACTCGTTAATCAGAGTTTAGTAACTTTAAATATTCTGAAATTTTAAAAACATATTTTTACACAAAGGCAGCACAGATAGAAAAATGTTCTTACTTAATGAGACTATAGCACACTGCTCGGAGAGGATCATGGTTTTTTTTCCTTATATTATTGTTTACCATACTGTCCAGCTCATCTCGAGCAAACCAAAGTTGAACTTCTGTTACACTGTAACTTGCTGATTCCCGAGCACAGTCTTCAATATTATGAGCTTCATCTAAAATTATAACTTGCTCTTTCAGATTGATATCCATCTGTAAAATAAAATAGTTTTCTTGTAAAATGAAATATTAGACCAAAATTTCATTTAAAATTTTATACTATAAGCAAATATTACAAATGGCAATCATATAAACAATTGATTTCATGTCTTGAATAAAACTTATTAAGCACTCAGATGAATCAAATAATATATCAGATCAACGTTAAAATCACCCATGTTTTACTTTCAAAATACTTTGTAAAACAATCAATCATTAAAATATGTGCCCACCACATGGAAGAAGCACACCAGCCTGTGCGATCACGAGGTGTCGAAGGCATCAGGTATAAGGCATCATCAGAATAAAAAAATCTTACCATAGTGAATGGGGTGGGGGGGAGTGCAGAGTGGAGACCCAGAGCCCATTTGTAGGCCACTGGAGATTCCCCTGCAGAGGGGTCTTGGGGAGGAGAGAAGCCAGTCAATGTGTGGTATAGCAACGATGAAAAACACAACTTTCCTCTAGTTCCTAAATGCTTCCTCCACCCCACCCACTATCATGATCCGAATTCTACCTTGCAAGTCTGGCTAGATCAGAGGATGTACACTGGTACACATAGGAACTGGAAACACAGGGAATCCAGGGCGGATGATCCTTTCAGGACCAGAGGTGTGAGTGGTGATACTGGGAGGGTGGAGGGAGGGAGGGTGGTTTGGGGGAACTGATTACAAGGATCTACATGGGACCGCCTCCCTGGGGGACGGACAACAGAAAAGTGGGTGAAGGGAGAAGTCAGACAGGGCAAGATATGTCAAAATAATTTATAAATTATCAAGGGTTCATGAGGGACAGGGGAGAGGGGAGGGAGGGGAAAAAATAAGGAGCTGATGCCAGGGGCTTAAGTGGAGAGCAAATGTTTTGAGAATGATGAGGGCAATGAATGTACAATTGATATATGTATGGATTGTGGTAAGAGTTGTATGAGCCCCTAATAAAACGATTTAAAAAAAAGCATGTGCCCAGTGAGCCATCAAGGGGCTCTGGCTCATGGCAGCCCCAGGTGTATCACAGCAGAACTGTGCTCCGAGAGCGTTTAGTGCTCATTTTCAGAAGGCACATCAAGGCCTTTCTTCTGAGGCGTCTCTTAGTGAACTCAAACCTCTAACCTTTTGGTTTACAGCTGAACACATTAACCATCTGCAGCACCCAAAAACTCCACTGATGACATAACCAAATCCAACCCACTGCCGTTGGACAGATTCAGTGACCCTCTAGGACAGAGTAGAACTGTCCCTGTGAGATTCCAAGTTTGTGACTCATGAAACCACTATAGGAGTAAAGTCTTATCTTGCTCCTATGGAACACTTGGTGGTTCTAACAGCCCAGTGTGCCACGAGAGCTCCTTTAACTACATACAGAGGTATAAAAGCCCCACTAGGTGTCCGACATAAATTCTTAAACACAGTAAAAAAACCTTTCAAACTAAACTAACAATTCAAGATTCAGATGACTCTCAAAATATTGGACAATGAAGTACACCTGTTAAGTTTTACTCTGTCCTTCTTCATGGAAATTGCTCTTTCCCAACCTCTATGTGATGCTGACAGTGCTATTAACCTGTTAACATCAAGGGACAACGCCACTTTCCCAGCAGGGTGAGGTTCATAACCCAGGGCTGTCAGTTAAACTAAGTATGCCATCCCTCTGGGGGTCACAGTGACTGAGTCAGGCATAGATATGTGTGGGGCAGTCAGAGTAAATTTTGCGGGTTGCTATAAGTTGAAATAGACTCAATGGCCACTAACAACGATAGGAGATTATATTCTTTATACTCCAGGTTAGCTAACTGCTCATAGTCATCTTTGTTCCCAGAAGGGCATGCCTACAACAAACCATCACAAAGAAATTCCAGTCAAGCATCTTTTCTTAAGCTCTTTTTAAGTTGGGTTTGTATGTCATTTGCAATTGAAAGAGCCCTGACTATTAGAGAAAAGCAATGTCACAAAGCAATTACCAATGAATTGTTTTGAGATAGGAATAGCATGGATAGGGCTGGAGATGATGGAGAAAAGACCATAGAAAACAGGAAATATTTTTAAGAATGATGAGGGCAACAAATGTACAAATGTGCTTGACACAATTGATGTATGTATGGATTGTGATAAGGGTTTTATGAGCCCCAAATAAAATGATTACAAGAAAAAGAAGGTGAGAAAAAAACAAAACACACCAGGAAACATATTAGGATTTAAAAGAGTAGGCTTTTGGTAGCCGGAGAGGGCAGGGCATGCTAACTGAGGAAGTGGTGTCCTTAGGCAGGTGCAGACCATAGCCCCTGCCACTGACACCAAAAGGACCCCAGGATCTGCAACCACAGCTGGCAGGATAGGGGAGGGGTGGCTAGGGCAGTGACATCACTAAGGTTGGTATCACCAGTCACCAGTGTGGTAACTCTTCAACCCACCACCACCACCCTTGCTCTATTCCCAAGCTGGTGCTAACTCGTCTGCCCCACTCAGTAATTAGCTACCCAGGGTACAATGAAGCAGGCCCAGGCAACTGCTATTGGGTGGAAAGGAAGGCCTCCCTCGCCTGTTAGCCAATGAGAGGGGAGGAGCTGTGAAAAGCTGTGAGACAATTGGCTAGGAGGGGGTGGAATGAGCCCAAGGGACTTTCTGACAATGAAAGAGGGGAGGGGTTCACTGGTCAACCCCACCCATGAGTTATCTCACCTAGCAACACTACCTAACAGATGTGTTATCAAAAGCAAATAAACAGGGGAAAAACACGATATCCTCAAAAGACTATGAAATAATTTTCAGGTTCAAGTTAGTTTTATAAGAGAAGGCTAAAAAGGCAAATCAAGACCTTGTGCTGAACCCTTTAGTGTATACTTGAGAAGTATAGACTTTATCCTATAAGCAAAGTGAGCAATTGGAGATTTTTAAGGAAGGGAAAGATAAAACTACAGTAATATTAGGAAGACTAAGTAGGCACTGGTAAGGGAAAAGGCCTAGTTAAAAAGCATTAAAATAAAAGAATAGTAAGGTCATAAGCACTGTTAATATTGCTGTTACTATTAACTGTCATGGTGTTGGCTCTCGACCCATGGCGATCCACACACAACAGACCATTGTGCTCCGCAGAGTCTGGCTGATTGGCTGATTTTGGGTAGCAGGTCATTGGGCCTTTCTTCTAGCGTCAGTGAAACGGTCTCACCATGGGAGTAACACAACCTTTACTAACAGATAGGTGCCTGTGCTTCAGATGAACTGGCTGAGAACGAAACCCACATCCCCCTATGGAAAACAATAATTCTACCACTGACTCACTACTGCTCCTAGCCAATACACATAATGCCTATTAATTTTGAACTTAAAAAAAATAGAATGAAAGTAGTGAGATCAATATTTTTGTTAAAAAAAAAAGGAATAAATAACAATTGAACAGACCAAGAATCTCATTTGTTCTTCTACTGTAACAAACGGATGGCACATATCTCAATAAGTAGGAAAAAGTTGTCTACGTTTTACATATACATTCACACTTTCTCTTATGTGTGCATCTAGACGATAGTTGTAGGTAAACAAATGTACATGCTTTATCAGAAATTTACTTTGTAAAAGTCCACAAAGCATAATTTTTACAGGTAAATATGCATATTCTCCCAATGTAAGTTGTTCAGAACCCAATTTCTTCAGGGAATTGTTTCAAACATTTCTATTCTTCAAACATAGAAAGATATCCACAGTCCAATGGATCTCAGATAAGGGTAATTTTGCTCCCACCAAAGATATCTGGAGACCTTTCTGATGCCATAATTGTGAGACTATAGTGTCTATAGTGTGTGGAGGGAAAGTTGCTGCTATACATCCTGCAACACATTAGACAGCCCAACAACACCAAGAATTCTCCAGCCCAAATGTAATAATGCCAAGATTGAGATACTCTATTGCAGTCTCCTTTCAATCACTAGGTCCTTAAAAACCCTTACGATTTTGGATATTAAAATGAATAGGTCTAAAATTCAGTTAATGGAACTCAGTATTAAATGTTTATACATTTACATGAATTAAATATAAAGCCGAAAATACAGTAAAAGACAATAAAACATCTAAAAGCTTTAACATTTAATAACATCTCAATAAGTAAGGAAAAAAAGTAGTCTATTTTCACATATACACTCACACTTTCCCTTATTTGTGCATCTAGAAGATAGTTGTAGGGACAAAATACTATGTCCGAATCTTCTATTAGTTCTCGAGCTGTGTAATATGGACATGCCTTTAGTTTCTTCCCCAGGTTGACAAGTTCTTCTATATCCCAGGCCTTATGCATCCCTTGGAGACTCTGTAATGTGTGCTGTTGACTAATTTTATGAACACCATGATAAAAATAGCAGGATTTCCCCTAAAAAGAAATATGCATAACTGAGATGTAAATCAATATTAAAATAAAATTAGCTTATCTCTTGTTTTTAGAAACATTCTTACAAGTCACAAGATAAAGATTTTTACAAAGCAGACCTATTATACAATATTAAAATCACACCAATTTTAAGGATTAAAATGGTTAAATTATTAAAACTGTATTATTATTTGACTCAGATAGAGCTCCAAGTCAATAGAGTCCCAAAACACCAACTTCATTTGAGAAAAAAATATTTTTAAATTATGTTGTTGTGTTAATTATTCTGATTAATGTGATATGAGGCATAAAATACTTCTGGAAGAATTCACAAAAGCAATGGTTTCACTGGTCACTTTCAAGGACGAGAACTAAGTGACTTGGGGATAGGAATAGGATAATTTTTCTCTCTAGATCATTTTCTACCTTTTGAATTATGAGCCATGCAACTGTATTATTTATCGAAACATAAATTTCTGGCTCTAGTTAAGATGATTTTTTCCTAATTAAAACAAAAATTAGAGAAGTGCATTACTTTTCCAGTAGAGGCACTTAAATAAAGAACACTGAACAAAAACACACGTGCCTTTGGATCAAGCCAAAAAATCAGAAAGTTTACACTTTAAGAGCACTTCGAATGACACCCCTGTGCAGACTGATAGCAAAACCAGAAAAGCTCATCCATTTTAGCAGTGTAATACAACCCTGAGGGGAGTCTGTCACTTGACGCATTATCACACTTTAAACTCTTTTCACTCAAACTGCCAGTTATCTATTTATCATTTCGCTTTGGTAACTCAGCCAGACTAAACATAGACACCTACAGTGACTTTGTAATTGGCCCTCATTACAATACCAAATTACCTTGAGGGCTCAGGCACAAGAAAGGGAATGTTTCTGTAAGCTCATGACGTAAGCATTCTGAGGCAGCAATTAGGTAGAAGCAAGCAATCACAGGAAGATACCTTCAATTATTTATATTGCTAATATTTTTTTAAAAATATCCTTGATTAAAGAATAAAAGTCAAAGAAAAATTCTCCTCATTCAACCCTATTGAATTACTCTTTAAAGTTTTATCCAAACTTATGATGGTAAAAATCAATTTACAAATATAGCCGATGCTACAGAAGTATGAAGAGAGAGACAAGGCTTTCTAGTCCCATAAAGCATTACATTGGTTGGAGGAGCTGGGAACCAATCAATGACTGCAGGAGGAAGGAGGGGGCATTAGAACTGATTGCGATGATGTACATACAACTCTTTTGAAAATCAATTTAACTATGGAAGTGTATGATGTGACTATTATATCAGGAAAACCACTACAAAAAATAAGAAACCAAATTTGACCTATGGTTACCATAGGTGAAAGAGGAAGGCTTTTTCCTTAGGGGACATTGAGCTTATTGTAATGGTGGTAGAACAATTTGGAGAGGGATGTCAATAATGCTTGGACAGCATGAAGAGTATAGTCAATAACACTGAATTATACATCTAGATGTTGTTGAATTGGAGAATGTTTTGTTCTGTATATTTTTGCCAAAATTGAAAAAAAAAATTACACATATAACAATGAGTACAGGGAAGAAGGGAATGCTCTAAAATTGTGGTGAGGATGTTCTTGATGTGACTGAACTATTGAATTTATGATTTGTGGATGAAATCCCTATAAAAACTTAAAAAAAAAAAAGAAAAAGAATTGCCATAAAGGAAGTCCTACCCTAACCTATAGAACCACGAGGAGTCAGAATCAACTCAACAGCAGTGGGCTTATACGTGTCTAGAAGGCCACATAGCCTATTTGCTTCAAACATATAATCTTACATTTTACAACTGCTCTTACCAATAGAATAACAAATATATAGTGGATTATGTAATAATTTTCCTAGCCACAAGCCAAACAAAAAACAAAAAAACATTGTTGTTGAGTTGATCCTGACTCATAGTGACTCTATAGAATTGCACCATAGGGGTTCTGAGGCTGTAAAAATGGAAACAGAGCACCATGTCGTTCTCCCATGGAGTGAGCAAGTGGGTTTAAACTACACACTTTACTATAAGCGATCTAGTGCTTAACCGCCTGCTTCACTCTCAGACGCACTGCTGGCAAGTAGAGTCCAACTCCTAGGGGCCCTACTGGACAGGGTGACGTGAAACTGCACTTGTGGTTTTCTGAGCCTGTTCATGGGAGTAGAAACCATCATTTTTCTCCCACCCAGCTGCTGGGGTTTGCAACGCTAACCTTGTGGTTAGCTGCCCAACATATAACCCATTAGTCACTTAGAACTGAGAATTTCTCAATCGAGAGAAAAAAGTACTGACAATGCCAGCAAATCCACTTCCATAGACTATGCAGCTAACCCCAACAGCAAGTATGAGGAATTCAGTCACTTACAGGAAAATGTCTACTTAAGCATATAATTTCTGCGGTTTTGTCATGAAAAACTTTTAGTAAAATTTTTAAGATTTTAATTTGTGTAGTATTTTCATGTCTCCTTAAAAAGAAATTCTTAAATATGTAAAAGAAAGGAATTTCACAATTCTTTTGTTAAAAAGGACTCTTTGAAAAGTTAATCTAACCAGTGACCTTCAATAATGGTTTTGATCCAGAAATTAATGCATTTCCTTCCTGGATTTTCCTCTGGAGCCCTTAGTACTTAAACTTTCTATTCTTATTTATTTGAAAATTTTTCAATAATTCAAATAAGCTATTACTTAAATATTTACTAAAGTGTCTTTTGAATATCCCTAAATAAAGCTTGATTCTATTATTAAATTTTTTAAATGAAGAGAGAAAACAATAATGCTCAATGATTTTTCATTTTAGATGGCAAGGAGATGATAATCCATTAAATAAATATCAGTCTTATGTAGAACCAACTGTAATAAAAGTAAAAGATAACTTTCAAACAACATCAAAATATCATTTGTCATTTCATATACTATTAATTTATGGCTCACTGGTGACTTCTGATGTAATTCCAGATCTGAAACTTTTAGAATAAATTAGTTGTCCTTCTTATACACAAATTCCCAAACTAAAACTGCTAAAAAAATTTTTTTAAATAATCTAAATTTTGGTAAGAAAGATTTTCCTCTTTCTACCCTGTCTGGATTTTATTTTAGACTTCTTTGGCAAATTTCAATAATTTAATTTAAATTTTTTGAAAGGGAAGTTTGAACTCATCAGAACTATGGTATAAGATAATCATGATTCTTTCAACTTTCAATATCCCAAAATTTAATGAGAAACTAAATTAATTAGTTTTTCAATATGTGAAGCATTAATTATGAAGCTAAATCATTTAGACATTTTATTTCCTCATATGACATCATGTATGTTTGACTATGTTTGTTAGATTTAGTGGAAGAAAGAAAACATCTGACTATAATCTAAATTCAAGGAATTATATACCCCCACGTTTTAGGTCTGAAAATGCATAATTTGAAAGTTGAATTATTTTTATGGTAAATTATTTTTTAATATAAATTCTAGCATTAATTTGGTTTTCATTATTTAACTGTAAATGTACACATAAAACATACTTTGTAGTTTGCATTCTTTCAGCCTAAAATTTCCCCCTAAAGCCAGTTTACTTACATTTTTTCCATCTAGAAATTCCATACATTTTTCTTTTCTGTTGAAGTTACCAACTACTTCAGGATGGACACAAGTGTGATCTCTGCTGGAAAGAATAGTCATTGGGACCTCTGAGTAGGCTGTCTTCCGGAGCTCTCTCGTCATCTGAGCGATCTGCTTATGTGTCCGTGTCCCAAGATAGATTTTGGGTTTCTTCAGTTTCCCTCCACTATCCTTCTTCACGGCATTTGAAGAATCATGACTGTTCCCTTGTTTGGTGGAACAACAGCACCTAGAACAGGGGCCAGGCGGCTGTGACAAAGGGAAATAAAATTAACGAATGTCTAGACGGCCATTCACAAAACTTCTCTTGAATCAAAAGCTGTAAGTACAGACTCATACTGTCAAAAGCAAACTTCAAGCTGTTATAGTAAGTAAAACTTTCTTATTAAAAAAACAACCTTTAATATTCCATTTCAAATTGGTAAAAATTATAAATTATGTTTCTTTATTTGCATTACTAACATGCTGCTCATAATTTCATGTTTAGGTCATTTCAATTCTCCCCTTTCATAAGTTAAAAAATCAATAAGAAAAAAAAACAAGACACTTTTAAGTTTTGCTTAAGTTTTGTAGCAAACAGAAGTGAATTTATCAATACAGGTTAGAGTTGATAGTGGTAGTTTCATTCACCACATAGCCAATCTAACTATCATAAAAATCACTAATGTTGATAAAGACACCTTAAGTAATTTACAAATAAATAGAAATACGAAATTGAATCTAAAGTATCCAAAAATAAGACAAGAAAAGTATTCTCTAGCAAAGGTATGAAAAGTAATTCAAAACATTAATATTTAATAATGAAGACAGATTGCTTGTGAGGAACAAGTAGATCTGAAATTCAATGACCTGTCATGGAATGCAAACCCATCAGTAAAATTACCATTCAGGATAACTTTTCTTGAACAATCTGACTGGTTCTTTATCATTGAAATTGTTATACAAATGTCTTTTTAAACATACTTTATAGAACACCAGAAATGTTGTTAATATTTACCTTGATTTTTCTCTCATTTCTAAATGATCAAAAATTAAAATTAAAAAAATGTTTGCCCACATATTAGCACCCACAGACGCCCAATAACAACACTTTTTTACAACAAGCCTCAATTACTACACCAAATGAGTCAGAATGAAGGCTCATTTAAAACAAATGTTGTGAAATGGTTACTTTATAGAAATGATCACTAAAAAAAAAAGAAAGAAATGATCACTAATGAGGAAAACAAAAAGAATAAGTAGCACAATAGCTTTTAAAGAATTTGTAGGAGAGTTTTAGAGGAGAACTAGTACTCTACTCGAGTAGTTTTTTTTTAAACTGTAATCAGTAAGATTAGCCCTCCCAAACAAATGCGGTCATAGCATGTTACACCACAATACTGGGGATCACGCTGTCTTTTAGCCTCAACTCAGTGAAAAAGCAAGTTCAAATTACCCCTAGTCCTGCTCAACCTTGTCTGCCAGTAAATATTACAATACATGATAGAATGGATGTAAATGTGACCCTTCTGGAGCCGTCACTCACTGGGATAAAAGGCTCACTGATGTGCCAAAGAAACAGTCCGTCAAAGCAGATAGAGTTACAGCCACGCTGGAATTGTTACATCCCCTTCTCAAGTTGCCAGTAGCGGCAGATTTCATTACGGAGTGCTGCCACATTAAATAGCCAGTTCCAAATATCCTGCCTTCTATATTGAATAATTACTTATTCACTGAAAGGATAAAAAGAAGAGTTATGAATGGGGCTCTTGTCAACAGGGAGGCAGGAAACAGCTGACATGTGGTGTATGTTACATATGTTGCAATATCCAACAATTTATGGTCACATAGAAAATGGAATGCAAATTACATGATATTTCTGACTGAATACTTTCTTGACCTTAGAAATTATCACATTAATGAATTAACATACTAAAAGAATTAATGCAATTTGAAGTAGCAGAATTCATTTGCTTTTTCATACCTCAATCTTTTCCCTCAATTATATTTTTTCTGTTCTTCATGATACAGTTAAATTAATTCTGAATATAAGAATGCTTGGGTCCAGTGCATCATTGTATATTATGCAGAAATATTATATGCCAACAAAAAGTAATGCAATAGAGTGGGTTTTTCTCAAGTAATCCAGTAAATCTTTTTCATAAAACTTGGAAAACCTACTTTTGATGTAATAATTTTCAATAGCAAATCCATTTAAGTCTTTTACCAGCTACTCTTCTTTAATTCTAACAAAGTTGAAATTCCCTGACCAAAATATTCAAGCAGTACAGAAATATACATAACAGATCAACTCACCACAAATAACTTAAAGACCTTTATGCATATATTTTAAAAATCTCATAATTTTTTCAAATAAAAAGCAATGTTGTTACACACTTTCATATCTTGCTACTTGTATTTTGCTTTATAATTTCTAATTAGAGTGCATTTGGAACTAATAATTTAAATAAAAGATTTGCTTATCTTAAGTTGTGTTAGTTGCTGTACTAACAAAAGCAAAAATCATACTGGTTGCAGGATAATCTCCCACTAAAGCAGCTATACTTAGGTACCTTAAGAGAAATCTTATTTTTCATTTCATAATTGAGACAATTATAACATGGCTGATTTTATATAAAACATGTGCTTGTTTGTTTTTTTAAGTGTTAAAGTACTCTGAATAATTACACCACTTATAAATTTGAAGCAGACTCCTTCAAAAGGTGGTTTTGTAATGAATAGTTTGGGAAGCAGAATCAAAAAGAAAAAAAGTTGATTCTTTTTCTTTGCCTTATTAAGGTAAAGTTATTTCTGCAGGGATGATTTTTATTGAACTTTCTATCTAAATGAGTGGGTACAATCATATTGGAAGACGGAAGAAAACTCTGAATGTGGCATCCCAGAGCTTTAAAATTACATTTCATATAGTAATAAAATACACTTTTCAATGCTATAGGAAAAATTAGATAAAGAGTTCTAATGATAGCAGGGATAGGAAGGGAGAGTACTCACTTTATAAAGTCTCTGAAGACCTTTGAGATAGGGTTGTTAGAACCATTAGATGAATACAATAAATTTGTATCTCTCCCTATGTATTTCTGCTAATATAGCACCTGTTAACAAATTATACTATTAGTCTCTCAGAGGAATGCTGTCCTTTTGCTCTTCAAATTTACAGAGACTGTTTTAGAAAACTGGAGAGTAAGCTTTAAACTATTCGCTCTCAGCTTAAATAGCTGAAGCTCAAGACAAATAAAGCTCATGGGCTCCTAAAACTGGCAGTTTCTAAGAACATGCAAGTAAGTGGTTACCCTGGGTAGTAGAATTGAACTCTTTAAAAAACGATTTCTTTCCCACACCTAGAAACCATCTGGAGTCCTTTTACTCCAACAAAAGGCTAGGCAACGCAACTGAATGACAAAATTACGTCACCTTTTAAAGCAAAACACAGAAGATAAGTATGGATGTGACTGCTGCATTATTTTCACATGCAGGCATCGATTAAAAAGAAAAAAAACAAACACCCAAAGCCGTTCTTAGAAGATCAGCAACCAAACATTTTTCTTAACTCCCTTGTGCTTAATAATTTCAATCTAGTCTTTCCTGTCCTGCCAATTTTGGTGGGGCGGGTGGGGAAGAAGAGTTAGATGATTAAATCTTAAAATCAAAGATTGACTCTTTTACAGTATTCCTTTCACGCAGCTATAATTAGGAGTTCAAATAGCATAAGATACTACAACAATGTCAGCTTCTGAAGTTTCAGTACTGTTGCCAATCTTTTTCTACCATACACTTAAATTTAAGAAAGGTGATTAAATAATCTTAGAAATAAAAAATAATAGTAATGAAAATAATTAGAAACTAATTTCATTGCCAGAGAAGAAGTTATTTTACTAGTCAGCAATCAGAGAACTTCTAAAAAAATGTTCTAGTAAACTGAAGTATAAAGCTACGCATAAAAGGGCACAATATAAAATATAAATGAAAATGAGACAAAAAAGAAACATATTGCATGAAATAAAAAGAAAACTGGGTGGGGGAGGAAGGGGGAAGAAATGGGGAGGTAATATCAGGGGCTCAAGTGGGAAGAGAATGCTTTGAAAATGATGATGGCGTCATATGTGCAAATGTGCTTGACACACTGGAGGAATGTATGGATGGTGATAAGAGATGTAAGAGCCCCCAATAAAAGTATTTAAAAAAGAAAGAAAGAAGAGAAAACTGGGTCAATAAAGCCACAGCTCATATTTCTCTTTAAACATCCATTATGTCTTATAACTTTTTAATAACACCTTGCACATCACTGGAGTTCATTTTTAATTGATGATCTGTGATTAAATCAATGACTGTGCCTATTCATGTTTTGTTTGAAGTTCTTAATATTTCAAAAAGTTAAATTCAAAAGCAAAAGGTTAGCTGCTAAAAGAAAAAGTATAGGGCAATTTATTATCTTTCCAAGTTAAAAAATTAGTATGTTAATAACTTGGGTTACTTTAGTTCTGACTGACACATAGCTTGATCTAGTCATTAAATGAATAATCGCTACCATTTACTAAGGCTGTACCTACACTGAACACTATACAAGTACTAGCTCATTTCTTTCTTTCATTTGTTCATTCAAGAAACATTAGAATCCATCCTAAGTCACACAGAAGACAGTGGCAAGGCCTCACCGTCCCTCACTGACAATGAGCGCTTCACTCTAATGGTTCTTTTAGGGCTTATCAATATCACTTTCACTCATGAGTTCAGAAATTGTTTAAAGTTAATAATCTAAGTACATTAGTTTCTGGAAATAAATATGAAATATTCCTAAGGTTAAGCTATACATGTTATATAAACATTTTAACTTATTACTTAACATTAAAATAATCAAATATTTTCTAACAAGATTCATTTTATGGCAGAGGCCGGGAAACAGGTGAGCTACTCTTAATAATAGACTCTAACTACCCTACCCCCTTGGGGATTGAATGACCCTTTCACAAAGGCCGCCCAATTCATAACAGTAGCAAAATTACAGTTATGAGGTAGCAACGAAAATAATTTTATGGTTGGGGGGGGTCACCACAACACGAGGAACTGTATGAAAGGGTCGCAACATTAGGAAGGTTAACCACTGCTCTAGAGGATGAGTCTGCAAACTTTTTCCAAAAAACAGTAAATACTTTAGGTTTTGTGGTCCCTGTCCTTATATTGGAAGATACCTATGATCTAAAAGTAGAGTATGATATTTCCTAAACAATATATTAAAAGTACAAAAGACTGAA